CAGAGCCACACGTCTAATTTTAAATTTCCGAATCACCCACATCGCAAGAAAAAAAGTACAAAGAAATATATGGTGAGATGAATTATTAATATGATGATACATTTTATTGAGCCCAGTATATTAAAAATGCAATCATTTTAATATTAAAACATCAATGGGACACTGAAATTCTTCGTTTCCTACAAAGTCTGCAGACTCTGGGGTGTATTTTATTTATTTATTTGACTGCCACGGGTCTTGGTTACATCGTGAGAGATTGTTCGTTGCCAGTTCGACTCGTGCCCCCTCTGACTGCGGCGTGTCCTCTCGCCCCTCTCGGACCCCGGCATGCACAGTAGGGCCAGCACTGGCCAGCAGAGCCACACGCCTAATTTTAAATTTCCGAATCACCCACATCGCAAGAAAAAAAGTACAAAGAAATATATGGTGAGATTAATTATTAATATGATGATACATTTTATTGAGCCCAGTATATTAAAAATGCAATCCTTTTAATATTAAAACATCAATGGGACACTGAAATTCTTCATTTCCTACAAAGTCTGCAGACTCTGGGGTGTATTTTATTTATTTATTTGACTGCCACGGGTCTTGGTTACATCGTGAGAGATTGTTCGTTGCCAGCGCATGGACTCTGTAGTTGGCACGCAGGCTTAGTTGCCCTGAGGCATGTGGGAATCTTAGTTCTCCAACCAGGGATCGAACCCACGTCCCCAGTGTTACAAGGTTGGTTCTTAACCACTGGACCACCAGGGAAGTCCCTCTGGTGTATATTTTATACTCGAGGCACTTTCAAAAGCTCACAGGCTTGTGGGGTTCTGGCCAGCCCTGGTCGGCGGGGACAGCCCTTTAGTAAACCTGGAGCCACTGGTGAAAGTGAAGTGAAAGTGTTAGTCGCTCAGTCGTGTCCAACTCTGGGACCCCCGCCATGGGGACTGTGGGACTGTAGCCCACCAGGCTCCTCTGTCCATGGGATTCTCCAGGCAAGAATACTGGAGTGGGTTCCCATTCCCTTCTCTGGGGGTCTTCCTGACCCAGGGATTGAACCCCCGGTCTCCTGCATTGCAGGCGGCTTCTTTTCTGTCTGGGCCACGAGGGAAGCCCTGGTGGGTCAAGGGCACCCCTGCGCGCTCACTGTGAGCCAGGCACCAGCAGGGCCTGTATGTCATTACTTGCGAAAGGGGTCGCTGTCATCACAGCCTGAAGCGTAGGCCCAAGGCCGAGGGTACATACAGCCAGGCCACCGGAGGCAGAGCTTGTGTAGGTGCTGGGGCCTGCGTTCTCGGGGAGGTCTCGGCTGGCGGGTGAGTGGGTGGGCGGGGCTGGCCTGGGCGGGCGGAAGCCCCTGACGCAGGCCCCGCCCCGCCCCGGCCCGCAGGCGAGAAGCCCTACGTGTGCCCCTACGAGGGCTGCAACAAGCGCTACTCCAACTCCAGCGACCGCTTCAAGCACACCCGCACCCACTACGTGGACAAGCCCTACTACTGCAAGATGCCCGGCTGCCACAAGCGCTACACGGACCCCAGCTCGCTGCGCAAGCACATCAAGGCGCACGGCCACTTTGTGTCCCACGAGCAGCACGAGCTCCTGCAGCTCCGCCCGCCCCCCAAGCCCCCGCTGCCCGCCCCCGACGGCAGCCCCTACGTCAGCGGGGCGCAGATAATCATCCCCAACCCCGCTGCCCTCTTCGGCGGCCCCGGCTTGCCTGGCCTGCCCCTGCCCCTGGCCCCCGGCCCCCTCGACCTCAGTGCCCTGGCCTGTGGCAACGGCGGGGGCACCGGGGGTGCGGGAGGCATGGGCCCTGGGCTGCCCGGCCCCGTCCTGCCTCTCAACCTGGCCAAGAACCCGCTGCTGCCCTCGCCCTTTGGGGCCGGCGGACTGGGCCTGCCCGTGGTCTCCCTCCTCGCTGGCTCCGCTGGCGGCAAGGTCGAGGGGGAGAAGGGGCGTGGGGCCGTGCAGGCCAGGGCCCTGGGCTCAGAGGGCCGCAAGACGCCCCTGGAGAGGACTGAGGGTGGCCGCTCCCGGCCGAGCCCCGACGGCCTGCCCCTGCTGCCGGGCACCGTGCTGGACCTGTCCACGGGCGTCAACTCAGCCGCCAGCAGCCCAGAGGCGCTCGCCCCCGGCTGGGTGGTCATCCCGCCGGGCTCCGTGCTGCTCAAACCGGCCGTGGTGAACTGAACCCGCTCAGAGGACGCGGACCACCTGCAGCCCAGCCGGTGGCTCCCAGCCCTGCCTGCCTGCCCCCGACGACGAACGGAAACTCTTCTGCGAAATAGCAATAAAGTCCTCCTGCCCTGGGGGCACCCCTGGGCAGCAAGGATGGTGCTAGTAGGGCATTGTGGGCACCCAGGCTCCTGAGGTGGGGGAACCAGGTCTGCTGGCCGGCGGAGAGCCGTGCTCTTGGGAGCTGAGGCCTGGCTCATCTCCGGCCCACGCCTGCCCTCCCCCCACCCACTCTGGTTGTCTCCCTCATCCCATGGCCCAGCTGGGCAGGTCACCCTCTCTCCCTTGCCCACTTGCCAGCCCTGACCCAGCAGTGGGGGTGGGGCTGGGGGTGGCGCTGGCCCCAGGCTCCCTCCTACCACCTTCAGTGGTGAGCTGAGGGGCCCCGTGGGATCAAGGCTCCACCCCATCCTGCTTACTCACTGGGCCCCTGCTCTGGAGGCTCCCGACCCCTCTCCCTCTGGTCTACCCTCCAGAGGGAGAGCAAGACAGACGCAGGCCGCGGCTAAGCCACAGCAAGAAGCCACCTCCCCCCATGACAAGGTGCCTCCCGGCTGAGGGAGGGAGGCCCGCTCGACCAGCTGCCCCCCACTGCCTGCCGTCTGCGGTGGCCAGCACACTGCCCGAGGTGGGGGTCCCTGCTCTGAGCTGGCTGGCTGCTCGTCTGCCTCCGCATCCCTCTGCTTTCAGGGAGCCCTGAGTCGGGAGAGGTGCCCAGCTCAGGGAACAGGCGGGGCTGGGCCTGGCCTGAGACCCTGCCCCGGGGACAGTGGAGGCCTGCAGGGCAGTTAGAGTGGGGAGGCTGGCTAGGGACAACCCCGGGCCGAGACCTGGCTTCTGTTCTGGGGGCGCCAAGGCAGAGCCGGCGCAGGGGAGGGGGCTCCAGGCCGGTGCCAGGCACGGGAGAGTCCCAGTGGCCACGGACAGACGGACGGAAGGATCTGGGCTCGACAAGGGATGAGGGGCAGCGAGGCAGCCACGGAGGCCGTGGAGGCAGGGGGAGCCAGAGGGGAGAGCTGGCCGTGTGGCCTGCTTCCTTTGGCTTCTCTGAACTGAGCCCCTGCCCTCCGTGTCCCCACTCCAGGAACCAGGGGAGCCCAGGGTGCGGAGGCTCCATGTGCCCCTGGAGCCCACACTGCTGCCCCAGCCCAGCGGCCAGGCTCTCCCCACCAGGCCCTGACAGGGCAGTAGCTCTTCTCGTGCCCCACCCTGGGCCCTCGTGCTCCCTCCTGTCGGAGACCCAGTTTCAGTCTGGGGGGTCCTGGCCTCGGCCCTGCCCTGGGCCACACCCTCCATGTCCCAGCTGCAGGACGGGGGAGCTGCGGAGCTGCAGGGGGACCATTGGCCCCCATGCAGTCCCAGGGTCTCCCTGACGCTTCTCTGCTCACCCGCCCTTTCCTGGACCGCCCTTCTATCCCAGAGGGGTCACCCTGACCTGGCCCGCTGACGGGCCCGCAGTGCTGGCTCTGCCCCTTGAAGGGGCCGCAAGCAGAGCAGGAGGGAGCTGGTCTCCTTCCCTCACGCCCCCCCGCCCCGGACCCAGGCCCCCCACCCCCACAAGGGCCCCAGGCCTTAAGTCCCCTTTGGGGCGAGGGGTTGGACTCAAGCCCCAGGAGCAGAGGAGCAGGGCATAGGAAGGCGACATTAGCTCAGCATGTGACTCGGTGATAGACCAGGCCCGAGGGGGCCGGTGTGCGTGTCGTTGTTGTCCGTCTGTTGTTGCACATTCCAGGATATCAGTATTCTAACAGGTTCTAAGTGCCTTTCTATCGTAGCTTATGTTTTTCCTCCTCTTGGCTCCATTGCTGTTAGCATAGAGTTTAAAAAAAGAAAAGAGAGATAAGCTAATGACTATAACAATATATTCCTCCATGTGAGAGGAAGTTTATAAAGAAATGAAATAAAAGTGAGTTACAAACATGCTTTGTCTTAGATACGTCAGGAGCTGGGCCATGCTTGGAAGACCACCTCCTGCCTGCCACCCAGGCCGAGGCCCTGTACTGGGGCTTCCTCTCAACCTCGTGGGTGCTACAAGCTCTCCATCTGCTGCTGGGAGCTCGAAAGGATGGGATGCATGGTGCTGAGATGGAAGGTTCTGGATCACATGTCGTGGGTTCAGCTGCACCCACTATGAGCACCTTGGCTCTAGGAGGGGCCCGGCTCCCTGGCCTCCTCGGGGCCGTCAGGCTGGCAAAGGCTCCTCTTCCTCGGCTGCACCCTGGTGCTGACCCCCCAGATTACTGAGGGGCTACCACCAAACCCAGCTCAGGAAAGGGAGGCCTGTGGCAGAGCCGGGGCCTTGTTCACTGCAGGGCGGGCAGGGCCGACCTGAGGGCAGCATGGGAGTGGCCCCTCCGTCCGGTACGTGACCAGCAATCCTCGTCTGCCCCGGCCCCTCTGGGTGTCAGAGGCCAGACCATGGGCGGGCAAACACCGCCGCCCCTCCTCCCTGCACAGCCCCACAGCTGGCAGGAAGAGCGGCCTGCCTCTGGAATCTGGACATGCATACTCAAGAAATGAGGAAAAGACATTTATTATTGAGCTATAAATTAGAGGCGGNGGCTCGCTGCTCAGCGCGCTGAACGCTGGGAGCCGCCAAGGGGCGGGGAAGCGGACAGGCGCCCGTGAGGCCGGGCCGTGCCTCCACCCCTGCGGCCCGCACAGCGACGCACGACGGTGGCCTCAAGCCCCAGCCGGCCGCGGCCAGGGCCCCACTCCTGCCCCCTTCCCTCCCCCTCCAGCTGGCAGTCTGCCACCCTCTCCCCACTGTGGTCGGCTTATCTCCGAGCCTGCCGGGGGGGCCTCACCTTCTGGATCTCCTCGGGGCTCAGCTTGGAGACATTGAGAATCTGCTGTGCTTCCTGGAGGCTGAGGCCTGAAAGGTTGGAGGCGGCTGCAGACTGGTGTCCGGCGCGTCCCCGGGCGTCCGCCGCTGCTCGGCTGGCTGTGTGGATAGGCAGGTGAGCACCTGGCTCCCAGCGGCCCAGGGCTGCCCCGGGGCGTTCCCGGGGAGCAGCTCATCCCTGTCAAGGGGTGCGGGAAGAGACAGGCAGGGCCGGGGGGCATCTCTTCTCCAGGAGTGAATTTTTGGGGGTGGGGGTAGGGTAGGCAAATGAGGACAGGTTTTCCCACTGGAGGATGGGGCAGGGGCTGGCCAAACCTCGCGTCAGGTCTCCAGCCTAGACCAGGAGATGACCCTGTCCCTCATCTTCCCCACCCTCTCACCCCGGGCACGCAGCAAGTCGGGGAGCTTAGGCTGCTAGGGGAGCAGAGTGAGGCTGCAGGCAGGGGTGGCAGCACAGCTGAGACCCGGTGGCCCCGTGGTCACAGAGGCCACTGAAGTAGGCCACCTTGGGTGACCTCTCGATTCAGAAGCCAGTACACTTTTGCTTAAAGGGTCAGAGAATATATTATAGATTCTGCAGGTCAATTAGTCTGTGCTGCAATTACTGGACTGTGGCTGACTGTTCCAATAAAACTTTATTTGCAAAAACAGGCGGGCAGGAGGGCCAGCGTGCCCACTCCTGGCTGGATGCTTGTGTCCATCAGGTCTCCCTTCTCTGGGGATGTCCCAAGGTCAAGCACTGCCCCCAACAGTAAGTACCCCAGGCTACCCAAGCTGCCAGGATACAGCCCGCAGAGGGTCCCTGCATTCACAGGTGGCCCAGCGTGGGGGGGCCCACAGCTACTGGGAAAATCAGACCCAAGCAGGATCTCCCAGCCCAGGGAGACAGGAACCCAAGCTTACCTGCAAACTCCTGCCGCAAGGCCCGGGCAAAGGCCCTGCCCACCACCTGCGCGCCCATCACAATTATCTGGGCCAGGTACTTGGCCTGTAGGCAAAGGAGGCACCTGTCAGCAGACTGCGTTCTCAGGGCCCCCAAGATGAGTCCTGGAGGTGCTGGGTGAGTGCCAAGGCTGCTGGAGAGCAGAGGTGAGGGCCCCTAGAGCGGCAGCCACAGGCCACTTCCTCCCAGCACCTGATATAAGCTTCTGCTCTGGGAGGCATCGGAGGCTCACAGGACAGCAGTCTCGAGTTTTTGGGGGCAGGGACCCGAAAGAGTCCCCCAGAGGGAGACAGGTCTCTCCCTCAGCCTTCGGACAAGGCGGACAGGAGCCAAGGCAACGTGGCCAGGGAGCCAGAACTTGGGGTCAGTCCCGGACTCACCGCCAGCTCGGCCATTGCATCTGAGCTTGGCGGGTCCAGCCTTCACCTGCTGGTGGTGGGATGCAGGGCCATTCTGATTCTCCCCACATTATTCAAGTCCATTCCATCCGACACAACAAGAAAGCAAAATGCCCTCCGCCCTCGAGACGGAGAGCCCACGAGGTGGGCATGTGGACAAACACAGCAGGGACCAAGTGGAGAAGGAGAGTAGGCCCGGCCTCCGTTCCTCCACTGCTTCACTCAAACCCCGCCTGAGGGTCAGCGCCAGGGTGTCAGACACACAGGACCCAGCCCTGTGGGAATCCCCCCACTGCCGTGCAGAGTGGGGGGCTTCCACTCCGAGACCACGTGGTCCAGTGCCCCACGGAGGTGAGTGGGGCATCAAGCAGGACCAGAGGTGTGCACGGTCAACGGAGGGAGGAGCCTTCAGGAAGGACGTGGGGACTCTGGGGGGTGAGGGCACTTCTCCCGGGCAGGTAGGATCACGATGGTAACACGGGGGCTTTCCAGGCAGAGGGACCAGGGGGAGCCCACACTAGGGGAGTGCAGGGGACGCCTGGGAGCAGCCAAGAGCCTGGCGGACTTGTGAAACAGTAAGGGGCAAGACGAGGAAGGTGGCTGAGACGGGAAACATGCAGACCTTCCTGTGACCAGGGATAACAGACAGACAGCACGCGTGTGTGAAACGGCACACACGTGGGCGCATGGAGGACACTGGCAAGTGCTCGCTGCAGGTCACCACGGACACAAGTTCTTGTGTCCAGCAAGAACTTAGCCAGGGTGCCGAGCACTGTGACGGACACATTCTACCCATTGTGCCATCTGATCCCAACAGCGAGAGACACCGAAACAGAGGGGTTTAGTGACCAACCTGAGGACACACAGCTGGCACCCGGGAGGAAGATGGGCAGAAAACCCACGGCCCGTGCCCTCAGCTGTGCTGTCCCCAGGCTGCCCACCTCACGCAGGGTCGGCGGGGAGGGCGACCGAACAACACAAGGATCAGGACCCAACTCAGAGGCCAGAGACAGGCTTGTCAGATTTCAGTGGAACCCAGACTCCGGAACTGGCCATGCTGGGCCACCTCTCCTTGCTGGGGGAGGTGGGTGTGGTTCCGGGCCAAATGAGAAGTGAGTTTGGATTTCACAAGCCCCATATTTCACACCAAAAGGCAAAGCTCTCTGAAGACTCGCCAGTGGTCAGAGGGAGGGCAGGGCTGCAGGTGCTGAGGTGAAAAGGCCAACAAGGATGCGCTTCCGGTGGGAGAGTCTCACCTGGCTTCCTCCCCAGCCCGGCTTGCCTGAAGCCTCTCCCACATGGGGCAGGAGGCTCTGAGGTGGACAGCTGGTCCTGCCTGAGGGACAGAGACAGGCCTGCCAGGGGTTCCGAGGATTCCCTTGGCCAGGAGCTCCCGTCAGGCCTCGGACCTCCCCTCCTGTTGCCACACTTGAGCGCGTGCACCACCACACGCCTGCGCTGCCCTGTCTGGGGACCGGAGCCTTGCACCTGGCGAAGGCCCGCAGGCGGCGTGGGGGCTGGGGGGTGCTCGGGGACGCGCTTTGTCCCAAGGCAAGTGCATGAAGAAGGGAGCTCGGCTCCGGACAGACTGACGTGCAAAGCTCCCTTCACGGCAGTTTCTTGGGCTGGTGAGCCGAGCCAGCATGGACCTGCCCTCTTATCAAGGACACACCGGGATAGAAAGGAGGCTCTCTTCGCCCAGGGCGCCTGCAAACAGCTGCGGGCATCACAACCAGGCAGGAGGAGCTCAGGGCCAGGACCGTCACATCTGCCAGGGCACGTCCAGGGTCTGGGCTGTGGTGAGCACCAGTGGGTGCCCAATACATATCTGAATGAATGCGACACTAGACAGGGCTTCCCAATGCCTCCCATTCCTTCTACTGAAGGAGGGTTCCGGCCTTCCCACGACACACACACACACACACACACACACACGCAACTCCCCACTTCTGCTGCAGCCAATACAGTCCACCCCCAGCTCCGTCTGGTTACAGAGGACTTTTCTGGTTTTATCTTCCCTCACCACTCTCCATCCCACGCACTACAGCCACACCCTTTACTCCCTGACTCCAAGATCAGTTCCCCTACTTCTTTACTCCAAAGTCTCTGTAGCTCTGAATTCATATACCTCGGGGCACTCTTCTCAAGTGCACAATTCAGCACTTTTTAGGATCTTCAATGAGCTGCACACAGCATTTTCATTTTCTCTCCCCCAACAAATGCTATACCTACTAATCCACTGAATACCCTCCTTTCTATGCCAATATTGTCAAACCCCAACATCCTTCAAGATTTAGCTTGGACACAGCTGGCTGTCCAGTGGTTAAGACACCATGTTTCCAATGCAGGGGGTTACAGGTTTGATCCCTGGTCAGGGAACTAAGATCCCACATGCCACCACCAAAAAAAAAAAAAAAACAAAGCTCACATCACCCCCATTTCCTGGAGTGAAACCTTCCCAGGCTCCCCCCATTTCTACCAACCCATCCTGCACTATCTTTCTTTTCCCATTAATATACTGTCCTATTTTATGGATTCATTGGCTTTCTCCTTTAAGGTACAAACTCCTCGGGGGCCACGTTTTATTCAGTCCCTCAAGGCTGACTGAGTCACACGCAGGAATATCTGTGAGGGACCCAGCTGGGGGGTAGGGGGTAGTGGTCCTCAGGAAAAGGCAGTGACTATTACAAGGTTCTAAGAACAATGTGCCCCTACGTGTGTAGTCTCAGTTAAAACCAGGATGAGAGACTCGAGAAGTCAGACTCTCTGAGCTCCAGGTTGTTTACCTGTAAGATGGGGACAATGAGGGCATCTGCTTAAGCATTAAATGTGAATCTACCTAAGCGTCAGCTCGGGGCCTGGCACTTGAAAGCTCTCACCTTATCACGATCAGTTAAGTGGCTCCTCAAACCCAGTGCCTCAATAACTTGGGGAACAATCCTCTATCGGGGGATAGACCTCAGGACTCTGCACTGGTAAAGGTCCCCTGTGGCCTGACTCAGCCAGGGTGGCCCACATCTGTGGGCTGGCTCGGGATGCCAACGGTACCCCAGATACGCTCAATTATCGGTGTCGCAGGGTCAAGTCCCACTTCTGTCACTTGCTCGTGAAAAGTCTCGGAGCCCGATTAACCAGCTTTCAAATGGGAACGATAATGGGGCGACACCATCAACTAGCTCGGGGATCGAGCAAGGACCCCCTGCATATGGCTGGTGCACGCGGCGACCGCATCTGCTCGGTATTCCCCGGCCCGCCCCGCCCTCCGGCCAGAAGGCTCTCCCTGGGCCCCGAACTCGCCAGAGCCCGCCGCAGGACGCCAGGCGGCGACCCCCGCCTAGTGTCGGCTTCCCGCCGGGCACACAGCGGGGCGAGCGGCGCCCGCAGCCCGACCGGAGCTGCTCGGCCCGGCCCCCACTCCCGGCCTCTCCTCCCCTCCTCGTAGGGTCTCACCATGGCGGCGACTCAGCTTCGCGGGCCCGGGGGTCTGACTTCCTGGCCCCGCAGCCCCGGCTCAAGGGCGGCCGGTGGGTCAAAGGTTAAGGGAGTCTGCGAAGAGCGCATGCGCCGGGCATGCGCGTTGCTCCAAAGGGCGGGGCGTGGGAGGAAACCTAAGGTCTGTGGGCGGGGTTTTGGGCGGGGTCTGCGTCCGCCTCCAGCGCTGGGAAACCTCCGGAGGCTTAGGACCACGTAGACCCCGCCCGTGACTACCCTGGTGTGCTAGGAACAAAGAATAACACCTGTTCTATCCGGGGCGGGGAGCTACTTCTTCCCTTCATTTTGCCAAAATATTTGGGACTTAAAGACATGAAATAACCATACATTTCACAAACGTAATAAGGAGTAAGATGCTAAATTCTCACCAATATTTAAGAAGACAGGAAAACAAAAAAAGGCTTCGGGGACATCCCTGGTGGTCCAATGGTTAAGAAACCACCTTGCAGCGCAGTGGACAGGGGTTCGATCCCCAGTCCCGGACCTAAGACCCCACATGCCACAGGGGCAACTAGGCCCAGGCAACAACTGCTGACCCCTCAGGACAACAAAGATACCACGTGCAGCAACTAAGACCCGACGCAGCCAAATAAATTAACAAATTATAAAAAAATAACTAGTCGTTAAAAAAAAAAAGAAAAACCGGTTTCATTCCAGGTTCCTTCTGTCTGGGGAGGAAGGCTCTTCTCACTCCTCCAAGTCTTTGTTCCAAAGTCACCTTCTCAGTGAGGCCACCTTGACCCCTACCAGGGCTGCAACTTGTACTCCATTCCTTTGCTTTTTAAAATTTTTGGTTGCACCACACTACCTAGGAGCTCTTAGTTCCCCACCGGGGACTGAACCCATGGCCTTGGGAGTGAAACCGTGGGGTCCTAACCACTGGACTGTCAGGAAAGTTCCTCTTTGTTTTTCTAATACTAACAGCTTTATTGGAAGATAATCACACCCCATACAATTCACCCCTTCGAAATTCACAATTCAGTGCTTTTTCACATACTCAAGAATCGTGCAACTATCTCCGATAGTTCCAGAACATTTTCATTCCCTGCTTAAAACTCCACACTCATGAGCTTTCATTACCCATTTCCCCCTTCCCTAGACCCTGGTGACCACTCACTGCCTCCTCTTTCTATGGGTGTTTCACAAAAATGGAATCATACTATATGGTTTTGCCAGGTGGCGCTAGTGGTAAAGGACCCACCTGCCAATGCAGGAGATATAAGCAAGGTGGGTTTGATCGCTCGGTTGGGAAGATCCTCTGGAGAAGGAAATGGTAACCTGCTCCAGCATTCTTACCTGGAGAATCCCATGGACAGAGGAACCTGGCGGGCTAGTCTATAGGGTCACAAAGGGTCGGACACGACTGAAGCGACTCAACACACATGCCTCTGGTTTAAACCTCCATTCTTGATCCCTATTTTTTTTATTTCTGAAACTCTCATCACATTCTATCAAATCATACCATTTATCTGTTCCCTCCCACTAGAATGTGGATTCCTGGTGGGCAAGACCTCTTTTCTCCTTTTCTCTATTCTTCGGCATCAGCACCTGGAAGAATGGCTTTTTCTTTTTTTTTTTTTAAGAATGGCTTTTTAAAAAAAAATCTTATTTGCTTTATTTTCAACTGTACTGGGTCTTTCTTGCTGCACACAGGTTTTCTCTAGTTCGGGTGAGCGGCGCCACACTCCTGCTGCAGAGAACGGGCTCTGGAATGTGGGCTCAGCAGTTGTGGTGCACAGGCTTAGCTGCTCCACGGCACGTGGAATCTTCTCAGACCAGGGATCGAACCCATGTCCCCTGCATTGGCAGATGGATTCCTAACCTCCGGCTGCCTCCTACCGTGTTCTGGGCCACCACCCTTCTTTCCTTTCCTGAGTCTCCAAACGCAGTCTTCCTCAGTGCCCTTCCTTTCATCTGAAACGTTCTTCTCAGGGCTCTCTCCATGGCTTTGTGACCCTTAGGTCTTATCTCTTAGCTTCATCACTTCTCAAACCCTGACCACAGTCTCCCCCAGCATCCCAGGGACTCCCTTCCATGAAGTTTACTTCACAGTTCTCTGCACACTGTCTATCTGCAAACTTGAGCAGAGTCCGGCTCCCCTTTGCCTACTAAAGCTGTGCCAAGTGCCTTGAGAAGCCTTGTCTCTCCCGTTCAAGACCGGAGCTGCCATCCAGAGAGAACCCGGCCAGGTACCCATGTGTCGGATGAATGAATGAACTCCCAGCAGGAGCAGAGTGAGGCCTGGGACCAGGCGGAGCCCAGGGCCAGACCACCATCACCCTTACTGCTGTCCCCCTCCCCTTCCAGCCAGCCCAGAGACCACAGCGGCACCATGGTGGCCAGCTTAGAAAAGTTTAATTGTTGAAAACATCCAGGACACGTGCAGGCCAGTCCCTGCGGGGCTCACACCCCCTTAAATGGGCTATTAGCTCTGTGACACCCATTTCTCCTGGCTTCAAGCTTGGGGAGCAGGGTAACTGGTCCCAGGCCCCTGAGGCTGGAGCTGCTCCAAATGGCCAGGTTGGGGGGCCAGCCCCCTAGACCCTTGACTGGAACTGGGGCAGCAGGCAAGATGGGACGGCATGTGATGACTGAAGGTGCTGAGCGAAGCCAGCCCAAGCTGGGACCAGCCCAGGTCAGAGTAGGGGCACAAGGAGCCCAGCGCCTGCCCAGGGACGTGCCCCTGAGCCCTCACCCCACCCCACCCCCGAGCCCCTGGCTCCACATGCTAGCAGGCAGTGAGGAGAAGCGCCCAGTCCTAGAAAGAGCAGAGATGCAGACAACCCATGGTGACTGCAGCAGGGCCCAGAGGCCATGGAAATGCCCAAGACTCAAAGGAAGCCAGGGCTTCTGGGATGAGGTGTGCCAGGGCCAGGAGGTGGCTTCCAGTTTGAGGGAGAGAGGTGAGGTGTGTGGGGTCACCAGGCTTTCCCAGAGGCAGCAGTGGAGGGTGAGGCTAGAAGTGGCTGGTGGGCAGGCTAGTCCTGGGGAGATGAACCAAGAAGTGGGGGGGAGTTGGGAGGGTCCGGGAGGCGGGGGTGGGCGAGCAGGCCACAGGTGTAAGTCGGGGAGGGACGGGAGAGGATGCTGGCCCCCCAACCAGTCCACTCACCCACTCGTCCTCGTCCACACCTTCAAAGGAGTCCTGTGGGAGCGGGTCCTCCCGGTTCCCCAGCTTCGCCACCATGGCGCTCAGCAGCTGGGGACGGGGTGGACGGAACAAGAGGTGGGAAGTGAATGGCAGTCTCTGCATACGGAGGTCCCAAGTGCACTTGGGTCTGGTTGGGTTGAGCCCGGCTAGGCCAGGGTAGGGCCTCTCCCTGCCCTTCCCTGGCTTCCTGAGCCCCGTCCCCCCACGCCGATCAGTTTCAGAATTTTGGAAGACCTCCCCATCAAGCTGTCCAACTGACAGATGGGTGACACCGACTCCTGGCCCAGTCGGGGTCAGACTAGAGAGCTGAAAGGCTACGCCAGGTGCAGCCAGGATCCCTTCCCCCACTGCCACCAGCCCTCTCCCCGCCTACCTCTTCTTTCTTCTGCTGGTCTGACTTCTCTTCCAGGTAGACTGAGGAGGGGGCCCGCCGGGCAGGGGCTTCACGGGGGGCCTGGCTCACTGGGGCGGGACCAGGGACAAGCATCAGGCAGGAGAGTGGCCCCTTGGGACCAGGCTTCCTGGTCTGACCCCTGGGTTCCAGCCCGTAGGGGATTCCGTGGCAGAGAGTCTACAGGTGGCATTCACAGCTACACAACCCTTGGTTCACGTGGCCTGCCCTCGGCACCAGGCTATGTGCATGTGCTCAAGCGTATTTGGGGCGGGGGGCTTCTGACAGAAACACAGACCCTGGGCTCTACCCTCTAGGGGCTCAGACACCAACTCTAAAGCACAGCCACCCATCCCCAGGAACGCTAGAGCTTCCTGCATGCCAGCAGGGGTGGAGAGTCAAACTTGGACCTTCGGCCCCTTTCTCCAACCCCCACCTGCTCCCCTCCACCCTCCTCTCCCCCATCCCCCAGGCCCTCACCCTACCTGGGGTCATGCCGGGGGGCTGCAGGCTGAGAAGCCGGGGCTGCCCGTTAGCACCTCCCAGCCAGGCCTCAGCGCTGAGCGCCGGCTCCCAGCTTACGGCGGTGTCGGGAAACACGTCGTCCTGGAAGAATTCTTTCTGCAGTGATGGAGGAAGGGGCTGCTCTGAGGCACTGAGCAGAGACCCAGGGCACATATGCCTCCATTGGGATGGGGGCATGGTGAGACCCAGGACCCCAATCTGAGGTTTCTATGGGGCTCAGAATGTCAGCAGCGTAAGGGGTGCAGATGCCCCACAGAGCAGTGGGTGGGGCAGTCTGGTGACAAGACCAGCCAGGCCCCAAAGCCCCTGACAGGGTCCAGGGAGTGGGGGGGCTGGGCGTTGGCATGCTTCGTCCCCAACTCACCCTGACTCGGGGCAGCCGGAAGGCAACAGGCTCCAGGGAGGTCTGGCGAAGTCGTAGGCATCGAGCGAACTCCACCTCCCGCACGTCACACTCTGTCTTGGGCAGGAGGATGAATCCCTGGGGTGGCAGGGGAGTGTGAGAAAGTGAAAGTTGCTCAGTCGTGTTTGACTCTTTGCGACCCCATGGAATGTATAGTTCATGGAATTCTCCAGGTCAGGATACTGGAGTGGGCAGCCTTTCCGTTCTCCAGGGGATCGTCCCAACCCAGGGATTAAACCCAGGTCTCCCACACTGCAGGCAGATTGATTACCAGCTGAGCCACGGCTGACGCTAGAGTCCAGAGTTCGCTGGCACCCGGACCCCCAGTACCCCTCACTTAGGACCTCCAGGAGCAAGGCCTAGCCCTGGACGGTGGTGTGATGTTTAAAAACTAGCTCTTGGGAGGAAAAATGCCCTGGTTTGTAGCATTTGCCTAGTTCCATGGTGTAAAAACTGCCCGCCTGGCCAACTTCACGCCAGCAATGTGACTGGGGGAATGCAGATACAGGAAGAGAAGTGCCGTAACAGCTCGTGATGGATCTCTGGCAGACAAGGGCCCACAGATTAAGTAACCTCAACAGCACAAATAACAGTGAAGTCAAATAAAATAATTACGAAGTGATAAATTAAGTATCTATTGCCTTGGTCTTTAATGCAACTTATTTGTGGGTTCATAAAACTTATCCTCACGTAGCTTAATTTTCAGTGATGGGTGAGTTTAACAACCAGTTCCCAAGGCGGCTGGGTGACCCGCAGGTCCCATGGGCCTGTGCAGTTCGCCCACATGGCCACTAGAGGGCGGAGAGCCAGCGGTCCTACCTGGGGGACCCAGAGTCCGCCGGCCGGCTCACCTTGTGGGGATCGGGCGATGTGAAGCTGTTGCACTCCAGGAAGAAGGGGGACTCGGGGAGCAGCTCATACAGGAACACGCGGGTATCGCCCTAGGGGGATGGCGGCAGTGAAGCGGCTAGCTTCAGGTGCCTACCCCCCATACCTGCCCAAAGCCCCCTGTGCGCCCCAGCCCACCTTGCCCGTGAGCAGCACCAGGCCGGTGTCCGGGTCATAGCTGGGCAGCAGGGTCGAGGGAGCCACGTCCAGCCCCAGCACTGCGGAGGGGCCAGCAGCCAGGGCCTCGGCTGAGTACAGGAGGAGCTGGCGCTCACTTCGGCTGCAGGGGGACAGAAGCAGGTCCTCAAAGCGGGAAGGGCCCGGGGCAGGCACGACAAGGACTCCAGCGCGTCTGGGCTTTTCCCCTAGCATTCTGCTCTAGGGCCCTTGCTCCAGCCCATTCCACCCAGAGTCCACTGCCCTCTCCTCTGGATCTGTGGTTATCAGTCCCTTTGTGACCCAGGTCAGAGATACCTATCTTAGGAGGCCCCCCCGCCCCCCGATCCTCCCTCCAGAGCATCAAATGCCCATCCCCTGGGCCTCTCCAGGAGGCTTGGTTCTGTTTTGTGTGCTTCATCTGGTCCCCACCAGGAATGGGCTCCTTGCACCTGGGACAGATTTCATCCCTTTGGATCCCCAGTTGATTCCTCCCCATCTCTCTCCCTCTCATCCATCCATCCATTCACCCATCCATCCACCCTACCATCCATTCACTGACCCACCCATCCATCCAACCATCCACCTACCCATCCATCCATCCATCCACCCAACCATCCATCTATCCAACCATCCATTCACCCACCCACCCATTCATCCATCCATCTGTCCACTCAACCATCCATCCAATAAGTGAGGGAGGGAACAGCTTCTGCACACTTGACAGGTGTATGTGTATCTTGGGGACGGGGCACAGTGGATGCTGAGGTCTGGGGATGGGAATGGTGATCCCAGAGTCCTCACCTGTCAAAGCCTGACACCAAGAGATAGTGACCGTCACACACCCACACAACGCGGGCTCCACGGGCCCCCTCGGGCCCTGGGCCTTCCTGTTAGGATACAGCATATGAGGCTTGGCCGGAACCCCCACCGGGTCTGAGGGCCGCCCCCAGCCTATCCTGCTCACCTGCAGGGGCTCAGAGCTACCCCGGGGCTCGTAGATCCGCAAGCGCCCGTCTTTGCAGACAGTGGCCAGCTGCTGCCCATTGGGGCTCCAGGCCAAGCCAAAGATCTGGGGGCAGGTGGGAACGTGAGAAGCAGCCTCTCGCCCCACGGCTGGGCACCTGCCCCCCAGAACTGTCCTACCTGATCCCGGTGGCCCTGCAGCCTCAGCCTCTCGGCCCCGACTTTGAGGTCCCAAATCCGAACGGTGAGGTCATAGGAGGAAGAAGCCAGCACGTCAGCCGCCAGTGGGTGGAAGCGCAGAGAATAGATCTTCTCCGTGTGGCCTGGGGTTGAGGCGTGGGGTGACACTGAGGCCCCCAAGAGCCTCTGCCCACCCCCCAGCCCCTACCCGGGCCCCCCTCACCTGTGAGTACAGCCTCAGGCGTAGTGAGCACCTCCTGCAGGCCCTCGGGGGGCACCCGCCACAGCCGGATCCTGGCGTCCTCCCCGGCTGTGGGGTGCGCAGGCTCGTCACTGCTGGCCCAAGGTCCCTAGACTTCCGTTGACCCCATCTAGGGCCCCAGGACCCTCCCTCAAGCCCAGCCCAGCCTCCTTACCCACGGCAAGGCGGTGGGGGTCAAAGGGGTCCCAGGCCAGATCGGTCACGGCCACCCCATTCTGCAGCGTGGGCAGTGCAGTGTCGGGCAGACGGCCGGGCTTCCGCAGCTGTGGGAGGTGCCCCCACCCCGAGGCCCATCAGTAACAGGCAAGAGAGCCCGGTCCCAGTGGCTGCAGGGCAAGCGGCATGCCTGGGCTTCACCCTCTGCAGCTGATGACCTCCCCGGGTGATGCCCAAGCTCTCTGCTCAGTCACCTTGTGCTCTGAGCCCCGTGCCAACCGTGAGGCCCGTGGGAAGTGAGGGGGGACGGCTGGGGCGGTGGGAAGAGCTCAGGCTCGGGGCTCAGGGGGCCTGGGTTTGATTCCCAGCTCCACACTTACACGGCGTGTGACCCCACGGGTCACTTGGCTTCCCTGTGCCTCACCACTCTCATCTGTAAGACGGGGATAAGAGCGGCACCCCCAGCACGGGGTACTGGGCGGGGCGCCTGACACATGGTTTGAGCTTAGAGAAGGTGAGCTAGCGTGAGCACTCGACGCCTTCAGCATCCTGCAGGGGGACATGGGGACAGCGTGGCGGGGCTGGCCCTCACCTCCAGCACAGCCACCTGCCCCCCGCTGCTGAGCAGGGGCACGGCCACGCGCAGCTGGTTGGCGCAGAAGCCGTCACTCTCGCCAGGCGTGGTGAGGTTGAGCCCCTTGAGGTTGGTGATGTGGCTGTCTCGGTGCAGGACAGTGCCCTGAGCGTGCCGGAACTTGGAACTGGGGCCTGGGGGGGGCGGGGGGCAGCAGGGACATGGAGCCGCGTGAGGTGAGGGTCCCTGGCTTGCCCACCCTGGGAAGTCCTGCAGAGGCACCTGGGCCAGCCCTAAATCTGGGCTGCCTGCTCCCCTCGGCTAAGGGCCCCAGCCTCTGCCGGTCCGACCAACTCAACTGCCAAGACCTCAGAACGTACAGGCCATCGAGACGTCCTTCACCCCACAAGAAAGTGACTGGTACAGGAGGGGAGTCAGGACTGGGGTGCAGAGGAGGGTGGCCCAGGGCGCCCGTGCTAGGGGGTCACGCTCACCCAGCAGGCTCTGCAGGGACCGCTGGCTGGGGCTGGTGCCAATGCCGCTGGTGCTGGTGAGCGAGGGCCCCAGGCTGGAGGGCGTGGAGGGCGAGGTCAGTGAGCTGGGCGGGGAGGAGAAGCCCTCCTGGGGGGGAAGCACCCGGTCAGCCAGCGGCCCCTGGTGGGTGGGTGGTCCACCAGGGGGACCCGCCAGGGTCCAGGGTCATCACCCTGGGACACCAGGGTAGGCGGGAAAGCCCACTGCGGGATGCAGGGTTGGGGATGCAGTCACTGATGGGGCAGGAGGCGACACGGGGGTGAGCTAGGCTTTAGTACACGGGGCAGCGGGTGGCAGCTGCCGGCTCCTGACTTTGTGGGAAGGCAGGCCTGGAGTGGTCAGGGTTGTTGAAGAGAAGCTAGAAATCTATAATTTCTTTTTTTTGTGTGTGAAAGTCTCACTTCCTAGGCGTTTTGCACAATTTTGAAAACACTGGGGTCCTTCGCTTCTGCTTCTCGAGTTTCTGACACCTGCTGGGCAGGCCACATGCTCCGGCCCGCCCAGACCCCCGCCTCCTGCTGATACTCACGCTGGGGTCGGAGTCGCCCGCAGGTGTCCCCGCGGGCCGGGCCACGGCAGGGGTGGGCTCTGCAGGGGGCACCAGGCAGGAAGTGAAGCTGGGGTGGGCCCGGAAGGCGGGGTGCAGGCTGACCCTCTGCACCTGTGGGGAGAGGTCCGTGGTGGAGGCAGGAGAGGTGGGGCCCCAGGGAGGTGAGGGGTGGGGGGCGGACACCGGGCCACTGAGTGCCAGCCATGGCCAGAGGGGCTGTCAGCCAGACCCTGGCCCTACCTGCTGGTCGCTCCCTGCCCACCAGGCATGGGGGTCGGAGGCAGGCACACAGCCTGCGGTGTCCGGGAACAGGTCTTCATGGAACTCCGCGGTCTGGCGGCAGACAGGGGCAGGCTGGTGAGCTCAGGGTCCCCCACCCCAGGCCCTCCTGGCCCCTCCCCCAGGACCGCTCACCTTGCGGGGTACGTGGTAGCTGATGGGAACGATGGCCGTGTCGCTCAGCTGCAGGACGCGCAGCACCTCGCAGCCCATGACGGCCAGCGCCCGCCGGGGCACGAGGGCCGCTCCCCGCAGCACGCCCTCCAGGAGGCACTGGGTCACTGGCGGGGACACGGCGGCCAAAGGAGGGTCAGGGCAGGCCAGGGGAGGAAGGGGGCGATGGCGTACGTGGGGCATGGGGCGGGGGGTGGGGTAGGGCTTACCCGGGCTCAGTGCTGGCTGCTGGGGGGCCGCCTCATAGCAGTAGAGCTGGTTCTCTCCCTGCAACGAAGCCCACCTGAGCACGTGCTGACTGTGCTGGCGGTCTGGGCTGCCTGGCTCCACTCCAACCACCCCGTCCCTCCTCAAGGACCGAGTCACAGCACCACCACGGCAGATGCCTACTAAGTGCCCAGCCGAGCTGGGGTGCAGCCCCCGGTGATCAGTATCACAAGTGCCTGCTGGGTGCTCGTCTGCTCCGTTCCCAGCCTCATCCTCGGGGAGCTCACACTCTAGGCTGTGACTCTGACTGTGTGCCTGCAGCCCCTGGCAAGGGCCGGAGCCCGGGCAGCACTGACCCAGCTCCCCGCCTCTGTATGGGGGCGGCGAGCATCCTACACTCCCCACTTTGCCAGCTGAGGCCAGGTCTGGCCCAACGTGGTTGGGTTCTCCTCACCTTTCCCGCCAGGACCAGGAGACCTGAGTCTGGGTCCAGCAGGGGCATCAGAGACCTGGGGGAGAGAGACAGCCGGTCGTGGGAATACAGTCAAGTCCCTGTGACCGAGGGGTGCAGCGGCATCCAGGCTGGTGTCCGGGGACCCTCCACCCACCCTCTCTCCCTGTGCTCCCGACATGCCCACGCTTCCCAGCCTTTCTTTCCTAGGGTCCTCCATCTGCTCAAGGCTTCCCTGGTGGCTTAGTAAAGAACCCATCTGCAAGGCAGGAAACCTGAGTTCGACCCATGGGGGGGGGGGGGTGGGGAGGAAATGGCAACCCACTCCAGTATTCTTGGCTGGAGAATCCCATGGGCAGACGAGCCTGGTGGGCTGCAGTCCACGGGGCCATGGAGTCAGACGTGACTGACACTATTTCCATCTGCCCAGCTGCTTTCCCCCATGACTGTGCCAGGCCCTGGGCGCAAGGGAGATGCCCCACCTTCAGCACCTCAGCCCTGCTCTCCTCCCATGCTCAGCAGCACCAGGAAGACCCCCCAAGCCCCCCACGTAGGTTTTGTCTGTGGTCTCGCTCTAACAGCCTAGACAACAGGCCAGGGAAGGTGCAGAGGAGGCGCTGGAGCTGAGGACCCCCTCCATCCCTCCATCCCTCTATCCCCACCCAGCAGAGTCAGCTGGGCGCTCCCGGATTGCACTAGGGCCATTGCCTCAGTCACCCAGCTCCTGGGCCTTGATGGCATCATAGAGGCCGGGCACCCCCCTTGGCAGCATTTCTCAGCCCCTGTGCCCGAGCCTGAGCCAGGGGCTGAGGGCAAGGGCTCCTTCCTGCCCTGCTTCCCAGCCTCCGCATTCTCTGTCCCCCCATTCCCCAGGCAGGCCCTGGGGCACAGCAGAGGCTGGGGGCAGAGGGGCCAGGCTGGAAGCCCCCGGCCTCCCTGCCACTCTCTTGCCCAGGGGTTTACTCCCCTTTCTCTCCTGGGCCCTGCAGGGTCCCCGGCAGCCCCCCAGCCCTGTGAGTGCCTCCTTCCAGGCCAAGAGTTGGGGGGAGGAAGGCGGGGGGACAGCCGAGAACTCGGACAGGCGGCTTCCTCTGTTCCCCGCTCCTGGTCTGGTGTCACGTCCCTGGGGACCCAAGGGCCTGGGCCCCCACCTTGACACCGACACAGACCCTCAGATGGAACCCCGCCGCCCTCGCGGTGGTCCCAGCGGTCAGAGGTCACCCAGCTGCGGCAGCTGCCTCAGGCCCTCACCCAGGCAACAAAGGGCCCAGCCCACCCGCTCCCCTGCCCACCTGCCCCCACCCTCGCTGGGAGGGAGCCAGGGCAGACTGGGAAGCTGGGTGGGGCCCTGGGTGTCTCCAACAGCTTCCTTGAGTGCCCGGGGCCGGTCACCTGTGAGCAACACGGCCTCTAATTACCTCGGGCTCTGGAGGGTGAACTGGGCTCAGAACTGCCTTTCCTGACCTGATCTGACCACTGCCTGGTCAGGGGGAAGGGGGAGCAGGGGAACAAAGTGATCTCGGACGTCCCCTGCCCTAACACTGGATCCAGTGGGGCAGACGCTGGTCCCTTCAGCGGCTCTAACTGGACTTTCACTCACATCATTCATCCCTGGTTGAGCTGGTCAGTGCCCAGATCTTAGCTGGGCCCACAGCTGTGACAGAAGTTGAGTGTAACAGGCCCCCACCTCTGTCCTCAAAAGCTCACGGCCTGGGAGATCAGTTCAGTTCAGTTGCTCAGTCGTGTCCGACTCTGCAACCCCATAAATCGCAGCACACCAGGCCTCCCTGTCCATCACAAACTCCCGGAGTTTACTCAAACTGTCAAGTCGGTGATGCCATCCAGCCATCTCATCCTCTGTTGCCCCCTTCTCCTCCTGCCCTCAATCCCCCCAGCATCAGGGTCTTTTCCAATGAGTCAACTCTTCACATGAGGTGGCCAAAGTATTGGAGTTTCAGCTTCAGCATCAGTCCTTCCAATGAACATCCAGGACTGATCTCCTTTAGGATGGACTGGTTGGATCTCCTTGCAGTCCAAGGGACTCTCAAGAGTCTTCTCTAACACCACAGTTCAAAAGCATCAATTTTTCGGCGCTCAGCTTTCTTCACAGTCCAACTCTCACATCCATACATGACCACTGGAAAACCCATAGCCTTGACTAGACGGACCTTTGTTGGCAAAGTAGTGTCTCTGCTTTTTAATATGCTATCTAGGTTGGTCATAACTTTCCTTCCAAGGAGTAAGCGTCTTTTTAATTTCATGGTTTGACTGACCTGGGTGATAAGCAGATACAATTCCACAGGCAAACACGTGAAGGAAGAGTTTTTTGAGGACACATGCCAAGAGGAAAGAACGGCCTGACTCTGGCTGGCCACAGGGGAGGGGGTGTTCCATATGACCCAAAGATTAAGAAGGGAACTCCAGGCAGAAACGGCAGCACCTGCAAAGACCCAGTAGCAGGCGGGTGCACGGCCTTGTTTGAGGAACAGGAAGTAGGATGACCTGGCTGGTGGCCTGGGCAGTGAGGGAGGGTCTGAGGCCCAGGGTGGGGTGGCAGAGGCCACCCAGAGCAAGGCCTGGGGCATCAGGAAGGGAGTTCAGCCTCCCTCCATCAGGTGAGCAACAAAGCAAATGATACCTCTAGAGAAAGGCAGGATTAGATTTGTGCAGAGCAGAGGTCACAGTGTAGAGACGGGTAGGAGGAATGAAAACAAGAGTCTGAGACCAAGTGGGCTAGGCAGGGACTCTTGCCATCCTGCTGCTGCCTTGGCGAGAAATGGGGGAGTGGCCTGCCGGTTCCACCCGGGCATCGGTGGCTCACTGGTGCTCTAAACCGACCTCCTTAAGAGGCTCGACTTGGCACCCCACCCCCATACCCCAGCCCCATAGGACCGGCTGGCCAGCCCACTGACTCAGATGCTAGGGGCGCGGGGGCAGGAAGTCACAGAGGGCAGGGCTGGCTTCTCTGACAGGTCAGGCCAGTCTTCCTCACCTTGGGCGGAGCTACCTGAGCAGCTCCGCCAGGCAGGAGCATCCTGCCCCTGCTGTCACACAGGCCAGGAAATGGGGTCACGGCACCCAGCCCCGAGGGTTGGCCAACAGCTGGCACGGGCCTGACCCCAGGCCTTGTAAAGACAGCCAAGCCAAGTCTGGATCTGGAATGCAGAACCAAGCCCCAGCCTGGCATAGCGCCAGCGGGCATGAGAGCTGGCGTAGGCACCTCTCCTGCTGCTGTGACACCAGGGGAGGGCTGGCATCTGGGCCTGCCAGTGGGAATGGCTTTGACCTGGGTCTGGGGGGTCTGCTATGGACTCAAAGCCATGGGAAGTCTAAAGCCTGGATCTGCCCCGGACCTCTGAGCCCAGGTCCCAAAAGATGGGAGAACAAGGGTGGCATCAAGTGGGTCCTGTGGGGGAGGGCTTGCTGTTGTTGTTGAGTTGGAAAGTCGTGTCCCAGTCTTTGTGACCCCATGGACTGCAGCACTCCAGGCTTCCCTGTCCTTCACCATCTCCCGGAACTTGCTCAAACTCACGTCCATTGAGTCGGGAGGGGTCAGCCCCTGATAATCCCACCAGCTTTCCCAACGCTGCTACAAATAACACAGGCAGGACAGCAGGGAGCCTGCCAGGAAAAGCAGCTTCAAGAACCCTTCCCTAGTTCTCTCCGCTAAACCATCACTCTACTGAGACCCACCACCTAGGCATCCGGGCACTGCCACCGGTCCAAAGCAGTCCAGGTCCCTGGGTTCTGCTCTGATCACCCAGGCTGCCCAGTGGGGTCTCCCCGAATCAAGCCCTGACCCCCACCCCCACTCCCTTAGAACTAGGTCCTAAGACAGAGTAGTGCCTTGAAGCCGAAAGAGGACAGGATGGACAAACTGGGGGGGGGCGGGGGTGGCATCTCCTGGAATCTCCCTTCAATTTCTGTGTGGACAGCAGCATGGCCAGTGTGAGCCTAGTCTCGGGATCAGGGCGGGGGCTGGACGCTTTAAGAAGGGGGTATCTCACTACCAGCAAGAACAGGTCACAGAGGCGAGAAGCCCCGAACCTGTCAGCTAGTCCTGTTCCTTTAGGAGCGTCGGGCAGGACTTCCCTGAGGGCCTTAGGGGGCCCAAGGGGCCCAAGGGCAGGGCCACATGGTACCGACCGCAGACTCAAACCCTGCAGGGAGCGGGGGGAGTGCAGCAGCCTGGGGTGGGGTGAGTGGGTATGACGGGGATGGGGGCGACCTGTGAGTCCGGGCCTTGGTCACAGGGAGCAGCGGCCACCAAGCCTCGGCTGAGAGTTTCCGCTCAAGGCAAGCCAGGAAGTTCCATTCTAATGTGAAAGCATTGGACTTTTCAGCATTGCCAGTAGCTTCCAACTTTGAAAAAGTCCCACGTGAGTCAAATAAAATACACCTGAGGGCCTGCACACTGGCCCAGGAGCGGACATTCAGAGGTTTGCAAGGCACACCCCACATCCACATAAAACAACAAAAGCGAGGGGTGCAGACCCCTGCCCATCCTGGAAGGTGGCCCTGTGGGGGGAGAGGTTCTGAGGAGCAGAGAGCTGAGAAGGAAAAGTCTGGGAGGTCACTGCTGCGGCTGAACCCTGCTTAGCCCTGCTAGAGACAGGACATGGGAGGCCATCCTGCCTTCTGGGGGCCATCAAATTCTTCAAAGACCACTCAAACCACCCCCCTCCCGAACTGGTGTGGCCATCTGCTGGGATAAGCCGTCAGGCCCCCCGAGATGTGAGCTGGCCCAGCCAAAGGCGCTGGCTGCAGGCTGGGCTGGAGGGGGTGGTGGGTGTCCTGGAGCCTGGCTTCAAGTCAGGAGCTGAGCTGGTCCCCAAAGGCTCCGAGGCACAATTCTGACCACAAGCACCGAGGGGGTGGGGGCAGGGGAAGGGCAGAGCAGAGTTTTCCTGGAGGGGGTGGGGGCAGGGGGGAGGGCAGAGCAGAGTTTTCCTGGAAGCCTCCAAGGCAGGGGATTTTTCTGGACTAGTCCAGCCCCTGGCACCCGCCCCTTCTGCCCCATCAAAGGGCCACTGTCAGCAGCACCCGGGCCCCACCTCC